TGATCTGGGGTTTCACCATGTTGGCCAGGATGGTCTTGATCTCCTGATCTAATGGTCCACCTGCCTCAGCCTCCCAAAGGATGGCATGAGCCACCTCACCCAGTCGACCTTCCAGCTTTTAATAATAAAGACCTTTTCAAGGACACACACAAAGAGTTTGGATTTTACAGGCTGGGTATGGTGGCTTACACCTATAATTCCAGCACTTTGGGAGGCAGAGGCAGGAGGACTGCTTGAGGCAAGAAGTTTGAGACTAGCCTGGGCCACATAGCAAGACTCCCATCTCTAGCAAAAAAAAAAAAAAAAAGTTTGAGTTTTAATGCCATGGCAGTCACTGGGTGTGTGGGTTGGGTTTCAGCAGAGGAATGGCTTGATTAAGTCTAGGTTGTGAGCTAACCCCGGCTGCTGTGTGTGTGTTTTAACTGAATGGATGTGCTATGCAGGCAGGATGTAGTAGACAGAATAATGTTCCCCCAAAGATATCCCCACACAGATCCCTGGAACTTGTGACTACGTTGGGTTACATGGCAAAGAGGACTTAAGGGAGCAGATGGAATTAAGGTTACTAATCAGCTGACCTTAAAATAAGGAGATTATCCTGGATCATTCAGGTGGAACCAAAGTAATGACAAGGATCCTTAAGCGGGGAAGAGAGAGGAAAAGGAATCAGAGCAAAAGAGATGCAGCATGAAAAAGACACCTTAAGGGGAGGAGCTAGATACAAAGAAGATAATAAGTGAGTAAACTCGACTTTGCTGACTTTGAAGATGGAAGGGTGTCCTCAGTCAATGAATGTGAATAGCTTCTCGAAGGTGGAAAAGGGAAGAAAAGGGATTCTCTTTACAAGCTTCCAGAAAGGAATCCACCCCTGCCACCATCTTGATTTTGGTCCAGCAAAACCCATTTTAGACTTCTGACCTCCAGAATGGCAATATAATAAATTTGGGTTGTTTAAAGTCATTAAGTTTGCAATATTTGTTATACCAGAGAGCCCTATAAGAAAGCTACTGTAGGCCTGGTGTTGTGGCTTATGCCTGTAGTCCCAGCACTTTGGGAGGCTGAGGTGGGCAGAACACTTGAGGCCAGGAGTTTGAGACTAGCCTGGCCAACATGGTGAAACCCCGTCTCTACCAAAATTACAAAAAATTAGCTGGGTGTGGTGGCACACACCTGTAGTCCCATCTACTCAAGAGGTTGAGGCAGAAGAATTGCTTGAACCCAGGATGCGGAGGTTGCAGTGAGCCAAGATTGTACCACTGTACTCCAGCCTGAGCAACAGAGCAAGACTCCATCTCAAAGAAAAAAAAAAAAAAAAAAAAAGAAAGCTACTATAACTGTCTAGATGAGCTTTGGTAATGGCTCAAGAAATACTTATTTACCTTCCCTCTAGGAGTGTGTTAGGTCCTCTTTCTTGGGGGTGATCAGGTCATTTCTATACAGGCAAGATTTGGCCTTTTGTGAGTTCCTCCCAACGCTTTCACTCCAAAGTACAACTAGTCCCCATGCACGGAATTCCACGTCACCTGGGGGAGTGAACACTTGGTCACAGTGCCAGGAGCAGACAGCTTGGGTGCATCAGTGAACCAGTGTGTGGGTGTGAACTAAGAAAGGCTACACTGTGACAGGAAGAGAGATGAATGCCATGACCAGGTCATTGCAGATTTGACTGGGTGCTCATCTGAGATTTGAAACAGGTACTCCAGTTGAAACTCTCAGATGCCTCATTCAGGCAACACACAGAGGCAACTGTCTAATTCCCTCTTCTCACCCCTGATAAATAGATTTCTACTGGAATGAATGAATGAATGAGTGAATGTATTAGAAAGGGAATTCCTTCTTTCTGTGGCTTCTTCAGCAAGCATAAGTGATGCTTGAATCCTCTTTATGCCTGCCTTTCTTTGTGCTTGTTCAAACCAGAATTCAAAGTATCTTGCTTGGTTCAGGGACCTATTTTTATAGGGCAACCCCCCAGGCTTAAATATTCAGCATTCATGAGTATTTTTTAAAGAATTCGTTGTAACCCACGAGCATGAACTCTATCTTACAAGATTCTTTTTTTTTGTAATTGGTGGCACAGAACAGTCTCTTATATTTAGAAGCTTGAATCTAGGGTTACGTATCAGGATACGTGCATCGTGTGGTTTTGCTGAATGCAGCTGTCCTGCTGCAGGCCAAAGGTAATTTGCTGATCCAGGAGCTGAGGCCAGCAATTTTATATCTGCATCTGTTTCTGCCCATAACTTATGGGCAGAGATAGGGCGACTTCAAGAGCTGTGGCCCTATCAGCCTCAGCAACTCAAAGAATGGTGGGTCCGGGACCGACCCTTCCTTCTCTTGAGTATAGCCAGTGTGTTCGGCTATAAAATGACGCCATAGTACTTTGTTCATGCCTCTGTCTGGGCACACTCATGTTTCCTTCTCGTGTGTGTGTGTGTGGGGTGTGTGTGGGGTGTGTGTGTGTGTGGTGTGTGTGTGTGGTGTGTGTGTGTGGTGTGTGTGGTGTGTGTGTGTGGTGTGTGTGGTGTGTGTGTGTGGTGTGTGTGTGTGTGGGGTGTGTGTGTGTGGTGTGTGTGTGTGGTGTGCGTGTGGTGTGTGTGTGTGGTGTGTGTGTGTATGTGTGTGGTGTGTGTGTGGTGTGTGGGGGGGGAGGGTGTGTGTGTGTGTGGTGTGTGTGTGTGGTGTGTGTGTGTGAGGGGGAGGGTGTGTGTGTGTGTGTGGTGTGTGTGTGGTGTGTGTGTGTGTCTGTTCCCCTCACTGGACTATTGCCACCTTCTCGGGGATCTCAATTAAACATGCTGGAATTCCCAAAGCCTAGCCCAATTTCTGTGGTTGAGTAGTTGCTCTATAAATATTGGTCAAAGGAGGAGATGGATGAGAGTGAGAAACCCACGGGGAAATTGTTTGGAAAGCTATTAGATTACTTTTGCCTTGCATGTGGAAGGTGTAGTAAGAAGTGGCATCCTTAATGTGGACACTGGTTTTTTTTTTTTTGCCCAGCAACTCTCTCTCCTTCTGGTAAAAGCACTTTGGTTTTCCTTTGGGGAACCACCCTTCCTGCACCCTCAATCCATAAAATCTGGGTGGAGCTGAACTCACATTCAGTTCCAGTGATTGAATTCTGACTTCAGGCCTGGCCAGTGAGGGTACCACATGCCCTTGGCCACAGCATCCATTTGTGTTGGCACAGTGGCTACACTTGTTTGTTAATGACAGGTATCCATTTTGATAGGTTGGTTTCTGTTTTATATCAATTGTTCATTATATTGAATCAAACCATTTCCCCCCCCTGGAGCTATTAGGGAAGAAATACTTTCCATGGGCATTGCTAAGCAGGTAGGAAAAAGTCCAAAGCTGTTGGCAGTCGTCTTGCCCCTATTAAACTGAAATGAACTCAGCAAGTTGGGGCTGAGACCTGGAAAGGTAAATGTTTCCAAAAACCCTGTGTGCCTGGATCCACCTGCACTTGAAGCAATCCCTGGAATTTTCCATTTTATGAGCAGTAAACTCTACATTTTGCTCTATTGAGCCAGTTTTTGTAACTGGCTGATCAAAGTCCCTTGGCTGATACAATACACCAATCCCTTTTTATACTGTGCTTTTGCGAGTAGGGCAGGGGCAATCTTAGCTTTGGAGGAAGCTCTGGACAAGCCCATCATCCCAACAAAGACTGTTTTGTTGCCCTTAGAGCTTAGGACCTAGGAGATGCCCAACAAAAATCAGAGGCCCTCTTGTCCCCAAGGATCTCATTTAATGACAGGATTTATTTTATCTTACTTTCACTTTAATGGGACCAACATTTTCAGTGCCTCATAAGAGGACATTTCTGGCCATTAATTAGTTGTGAGTGATGCCTCTCTAGCACCACCCCTGGCCTCTCTGGAGTCTTCCCTGGGGACTGAGGCTGGAATAGATGAGCTTATTTTGGTTACGAAAATCTCTGGAAGGTGGGGAACCCCAAGAAAACACAATTCACACACTGTGGTACACAGGCTTACTTAAAACCATTTTTATTCTGCCTCTCAGCAACACTTTTCATTTGATTTGGGTAAAAGACCAGGGGCCCAAACACACACAAACAAAAGACAGGATGTCAGAAACAGAAGATTCAATCTATTGGAATGATGCTAGCATCTCTGTGTGCTGAGATTTCGTGTCCCTGATTCAATGTCCTCCTGGGACAAGTGCTGGCTCATCACGACATCTGGGTCAAATGACCGGTAGACTCTGATGTTCATCAGCTTTTATTTTTTGCTAGGGTTCTATATATGAAAAAATGCTGAAATTCCCCATTATCCAAGAACAATGGTTTGTATTGGCATAGAACTTAGAATCCCTCACCCCTCCAGGGTTATTCACCTCTATCGTGGCAATTAATTTCCATAACGAACCTGTGAGGTAAGTAGGCAGGCATTCTTATCCCCGTTTTTCAGGTGAAGAAATTTTAGGCATAGAAAGGCTAAGGAACTTGCCTAAAATCAGCTTGCATAGATAGTTAGTGGCCAAAACCACCCCTGCAAAAGCAAAAGGGCATTGGAACTCAGGTAATTTGACTCTCAGCCTCTTATTCATTTATTCATTCAATTAAAATAATCTTCTTTCTTTTTTTCTTGCTCTGTCACTGAGGCTGGAGTGCAGCAGTGCAGTCCTGGCTCACAGCAACCTCTGCTTTCCAGATTCAAGTGATTGTCATGTCTCAGCCTCCCGAGTAGCTGGGATTACGGGCATGTACCTCCATGCCTGGCTAATTTTTGTATTTTTAGTTGAGATGGAGTTTCGCCACATTGGCCAGGATGGTCTCGAGCTCCTGACCTCAAGTGATCCACCCACCTTGGCCTCCCAAAGTGCTGGGATTACAGGCGTGAGCGACCGTGCCTGGCCAGAATAATCTGTCTTTCTTTTGCTTTATTGTCACCAGGTTTCTAACATTAATCCTTTAAAGTGACTTTTGCCACACATACCTATCTGGTGTGTTAATTACTTGATATTTTCTTGAGTTCCCCTGTTTTTCTTAATTTATTTGAACAGAAACAATATATCACATCCCCGACTGTGGGAGGCTGTAGATGGAAGGTAATAAATAAAATAAATACCATGACACAAGACAATAGCATTAAATTCTATCTAGACAGAAGACTCTAAACCCGAGGACTGCTCTTTCTTTGTTAAAAAGGGAAAAGAGCCATTGTGTCGGGCAAGGTGTTAAGGGCCCGCCAGTGCTAAACAGAGACTTTCTCCTTGCTGTAATCAGGATGAAAAAAGAATAGGAAAGGGGAGACATTCTTTGGGATTTGGTATTACTTAAAGTCGTTCCTAGAAACTACTGAAAAGTGATCTTGTGTACCACCAGTGGCACACTCCTCATGCTCTGTGAGACATGGGGTTACTGTGTTCTGGCAGGCAGAATAATGGCATCATTAAACCAGTACGTTCACATCTAAAGGGTTTACATTTGACAGAAAAGAAATACAATGGGTGGCATTTCCAAGTGGCATCCAGGAAAATGAAAGATCTCTTGCCTGAGACTTGCTAGAGAAAGAGAGGAGAGAGAGAGAGATTGGAAAAAAAAAAAAAGCACATTGTATAAATACATCCAGTGTATTTCCAACACTGGGATGAAGAAGGTGCTCATGTGCCTAGAATTGGCCACTAAGTCCATTCTCAGAGTCTGTTTGAGTGAAGAGTGAGGTTGTGGTCAAGTCGACCAACGTGGATGCAAGCAAGAGAGGGGGCCTATTTGAAAACATTAAAGATCAAGACAAAAGGCCAGAAAAGCCCCTTCTTTGGGTCTTCGGTAACCAGATGGGTGAATTCTGGGCATGGGAGTGCTGACTCCCAGAGGAAGAGTTGCTGAAAGTTGAAGTGAGGCTACAACATGTCAGAACAAAAGGAAAAGCAAATCCACAACTTGAGCTCTACTAGACAATTTTAAACATGCTGCAAATGTTTGTGCTCGAAATTGTAAAAACTAGCACTTACTGCTCTTCTAGAAACTTCCCTCTCCCCCTATATGGAGACCCTTGGATCACCCCAGTGAAAAATTATGCGATTTCCTGAGGCTTGCCTCTGGAGGACAGGAGTAGACACCACGGGATTCGCTAAACTGCGACAGTGAGATTTCATTTTTCTTTTTTCTGTTTTCTTTTCATTTTTACAAATCAATGACTTTGGCTGATCCGGCTGTGCAGCTTGAATTTCCTAAAAATTTGGACTTCTTTTTTTTTTTTTCCTTGTTCATTTGCCAGGGACCTGCCTCTGGAGAGTCCTGGAGGAAAAGATCTCACAGTCTGAAGTCAAGGATCCATTCCTCAGAAACTCCTTTGGGGTGTGTGTGGATGAGGTGCATCCTCCATGCTCACAGCCTGCTGACCAACTGCTGATTCCTCAGGAACTGTATGGGGGAGAGAGAGAGAGAGAGAGAGAGAGAGAGAGAGAGAGAGAGAGAGAGAGAGATCATGGGCTGAGCTTCCCTGGTCGGCTTTCCCAACTCGATGGCTTCCTTATTTGATGGCGATTACTCTGGTTAAACACATGCTGAAATGTACAAGCCCTCCCGCACACCTCTGACTCTAAGCAAGGGCTTCCTTTTGAAAAACATATTCTATTTGGAAAATGTATTTTATCTTACATGTGATAAATGCCAAAAAACAAACAAACAAAGAAAATGAATACGGCAAAATGCCTCTTGAGCATATCTGAACCTCACTCTCCTCCCTGAGGGTTAGTGTGGTAACTCGTAGCAGTTTGATGTGTGTTCACCAGGTGTTCTTCTCTGCATGGAAACTGATCAGTAAGCATTTAGAAATTATATACTTATCATGTGTCTGTGTTTACATAATGGGATCATGCTACAATTTCTTTTTTTGTTTTACTCATTTATTTATTCAGTGCATATTTACATGCCGGGCACTGCTCTAGATGTTGTTGACAGTAGCAGTACCCAACAGTTACCTAGAGAGTGCCGGGCACTGTACTTTGTGCAATTTAACCCTCACAGCCCTAAGAGGTAGGCACTGTTGTTATTTCCATTTGATGTATGAGGAAACAGAGGCACGGACTGCTTAAAAGATATGCCCCAGGGCACACAGCTGCTTAAAGGAAGCACCTGGAATGAAACTCCAGCAGTCTAGCTTGTAAGTAGGCACTTTAAGGGCCATGCTCTGTTATTATGGGCAATAATAGAAATGAAAATGTTCCTGGAGTTCTCATGCCAGTAGGGGGAAACAGACCATAGATACATAATCTGTCAGGGAGTGGTAAGGAAGAAAGGCAAAATTGAGGGAGAGCCTCTTTGTTAAAGTAACATATGAACAAGTGCCAGAAGGAGAGATGGGAACCAGCTGAGTGGCTTTTAGGAGGAAGAGAGTTCCAGGCAGAGGGAACGGCCAGTGCAAAGGCCCTGAGGCGGGAATGTGTGTGTGCGGCTCAGAGAGAAGACTCTGACAGGGCTGAAGTGGAGGGAGTAAAAGGGAGAGAGAGGGAGTGAGAACTGGGAGATAAGGATGGGGAGGTGGCAGCCAGATTATGCCGGGCTTGTAAAGTCATAATAAGAAGGATGTTGGCCGGGTGTGGTGGCTCACACTTGTAATCCCAGCATTTTGGGAGGTTGAGGTGGGCAGATCACCTGAGGTCAGGAGTTTGCGACAGCCTGGCCAACATGGCAAAACCCCGTCTCTACTAAAAATATAAAAATAAGCCAGGCATGGTGGCACTTGCCTGTAATCCCAGCTACTAGGGGGACTGAGGCAGGAGGATTGCTTGAACCTGGGAGGTGGAGGTTGCAGTGAGCCAAGATCGTGCCACTGCACTCCAGCCTGGGCAGCAGAGCAAGACTGTATCTCAAAAAAAGAGAAAGATGCCTTCATGTTTATACTTAAAAAAAAAATAGAGATGGGATCTCTCACTATATAGCCCAGGCTGGTCTTGAACTCCTGGGCTCAAGTGATTCTCCTGCCTTGGTCTCCCAAAGTGCTGGGATTACAGGCATGAACCAGGGCACTTGGCCCTGTCTCTATCTTTAAACTGCAGTGTGGTATACAATCATATGAATACATCTCTACTAATTTAACCTGCCTATTGATGGACATTTAGGTTGTTACAAGGTTTTCCCTATTGCAGACAAAGCTGCAATGAACATTATTGCACATCTGTGGTTCACAACCCTGGCTGCACATTAGAATTACCCAGAGAGCCCTACAATCCACCAATGCCTGGCCCTAACACTGGAGATACTAATTTAATTGGTCTAGGGTGTGCCCTGGGCATTGCTTTAAAAATTTTTTTATTTTAATTTTTTGAGACAGAATCTTGCGCGGTCACCCAGGCTGGAGTGCAGTGGCACGGGTACAGTGGGCTGCAGCCTTGACCTCTTGGGCTCAAGCCAGCCTCGCACCTGAGCCTCCCAAGTAGCTGGGACTACAGGTGCGTGCCACCAAGCCCAGATAATTAAACATTTTTTTTTCACTAGAGATAAGATCTTGTTATGTTGCCCAGGCTGACCTCCAACTCCTGAGGTCTAGTGATCATCTGGTCTCTGCCTCCCAAAGTGCTGGGATTACAAACATGAACCACAGTGCCCAGTGGCATTGACATATTTTTAAAGCCCCCCCAGGTGATTCTAACATGTAGCTAGGGTGAAGCATTACTCTGTTGCATGCATTTTTGTGCACCTGTCTGTAAAACGGATACTGAGAAGTAGAATTGCTGGATTGGTGGGCGCAGCATTTTAGTTTATTAGATATATCCAGATTGACTTTCCAAAAGACTGTCCTAATTTTCTCTTTCACCACTGGTATAGTGTCCAATTTTTCACATTCCTGTCAACCTTGATATTACCCATCTTTTTAATTGTTGCAATCTGGCAGCTTTAATTTGTGCTTTCTTGATTACCAATGAGGTTGAGCATCTTTTTAATGTTCATTCTGATTTCTTCATCAGTGTGCTGCTAGCTTATATCCTTTTCAAAGCAAAAATCCTTCCACTGTTGTTGGCAACCTATCAGATTTGTCTGCATCTCCACTTAACTGAACCAACAGAGAAAGACCCTTCTAAGCTTCTGGAAATAGGTAATGATTCCCATTTTTCATTATGGAATCACAAAAATTCTCTGAGCAAAACAGTTCCCGGAAAGGCTTTCCCCAGCCAACAATGCAGAAAAGAAGAGGGATTTGCTTTTACACTTTTGCAAAACAGGTCAAGTTCTTGCTTCATGTCCACCTTAATATGTATGCCTCCTTCCAATTCTGATGCAATTGAAGAATATTTTGAGGCCAGGAAAGGATTTATTTCAATTTGCTTATGGGAGAGAAGCTTTCCCAGTGCAGAATGGGTCAGTATCTTCTAACTCTGTGCCTGCTAACAAGACACAGTCATGGGACCTTTACTCCTGTTTAAAGGTCAAGTTTTTCCTTAATGAAAACCTTGGAGCACAAAGGCTGTTGTTGCTAAGAATGGCAAATGAGCCAGGCGTGGTGGCTCACGCCTGTAATCCCAGCACTTTGGGAGGCCGAGGCGGGTGGATCATGAGGTCAAGAGATCGAGACCATCCTGCTCAACATGGTGAAACCCCGTCTCTACTAAAAATACAAAAAATTAGCTGGGCATGGTGGCGTGTGCCTGTAATCCCAGCTACTCGGGAGGCTGAGGCAGGAGAATTGCCTGAACCCAGGAGGCGGAGGTTGCAGTGAGCCGAGATCGCGCCATTGCACTCCAGCCTGGGTAACAAGAGCGAAACTCTGACTCTAAAAACAAAACAAAACAAAACAAAAGAATGGCAAATGAGCATTTTTAACACACAGCTGTGTACCTGGATATTTATACCTCAACAAGACCACTCAGAGGTATACATTCAGGGAAGTTGCATTGTATGTGCATTTAACTTATGGCAGATCATCTATTTATGTTCCTCAAAAAGAAAAAAGAGAAGCTGTTTAAATAGAGCTGGAGTTTCTGGCTACCATTTCTGGCTCAATGCTCATGAGTATGGATGGGGATATCACGTCTGTTCCTCCTATGTGAGCCCAGATTGTGGTTCCAGTGTTTAAACAGATGCCATGAATCCTAAACCCAGTTACATACTTCAGCTGGCTCTCAGCCCAAGGAACGGTCACCTCTTCCAACACTGGAAACATTCAACTGGCTGTGCTGGGCTGATCAAGATACCATGTGTGAGTCTCCAATAGGGTGCTCTTCTATGGATACTCCCAAGATCAAGTTTGATTACACACAAAGCTCACCTTGTGCCCTGACATGAGAACGTCACCCCTGAGTAACATGAAGCTCCGGTGGATTACCAGGGTCATCTGAGAATGTCATATTTGTCATACAGGACATTTGCCTCATACCCAAACTTTGTCGTGGTCAACTGTTTTTGCCGCTAAGGATGTTCCACCAAATTCCACAGAGCGTCAGATTAAGTGACCATGAGCCTGATCTCACGGAGAGAGGAAAAGAGTTGGGTGTGGCAGCTCAACCCTGTAATCCCAGCTAACTCAGGGAGCTGAGGTGAGAGGATCACTTGAGGCTGGGAGTTCAAGACAAGCCTGGGAAACATAGTAAGACCCCCATCTCAAAAACAAAAACCAAAACCAAAAGGGAGGGAGGAAGGGCAAATTTGGGAGGTGTGTAACCTTTCCAGGGAAGCTGCAATAACTGAAGCTTCTACCACATATCTTAGGTGTAATATTGTGATGTAATAAGAAATAAATATTTGGTCTCTGCCTCTGGTTCCTGAGACAGAGAGCCTGACACCCTTGTAGACTGGGTGCTAGGATAATCTTTTGTTTTGAAGTTTTGTCTTTGACTCTAGTTTCTGACACAGAGCTCTCAAATCCCTTGGAATTTCCTGGGTGATAGGACTATATTTGTTCTAATGAGGTAACTCTTGGTGGGCTCCTGGATGGCCTCAGGTTGAGGGTAGATTGCCAGGGGAACCAACCATTTGGTCAGAAGGTTGGAACTTCCAGTCCCACCCCCTGGACTCTAGGGAGGAGAAATGCCCTGAAGGTTGAGTTGATCACCAATAGTCAATGATGTAATCGATCATGCCTATGTAATGAAGCCCCCTTGCAAAACCCTAAAGGACAGGGTTGGGAGAGCTTCCGGATTGCTGAATGTGTGGTGGTACTTGGAAGGTGGCACACGTGGACAGGACATGGAAACTCCGTGCCCCTTCCTACATACCTTGCCCTAAGCATTTCTTCCATCCTACTGTTCATCTGTATCCTTGGTAATATCCTTTGTAATATTCTTAGTAATAAATGGATACACGTAAGTAAGTGTTGCCTTGAGTTCTGTGAGCCACTCTAGCACATTAATAGAACCTGAGAAGGGAGTTGTGAAAACCCCCAAATTAGAGCCAGCCAGTCAGAAGCACAGGTCATAACCTGGGGC